AGAGAGAGAGAGAGAGAGAGAGAGAGAGAGAGAGAGAGAGAGAGTGAGGGAAATGAAAAGTGTGACACGACGACGAATAGTGAGTCAGAAAAACTCTTCTCGAGACGCGTCGATTGGGTTCTTTTTATATAGCTCCGAGGAACATTTTTTGACTCTTAACGATAATGGTAATAAATAAATAAATTTCAGTCCTCTACCATTGGTAATAATTTTGTTCATGATCATCTGGATAAGCCAATAATAGCTATATACTCTTAGCGTGCAAGACGGTAGCATTAATCTCTAAATTTCTCGAAAATTCCTTGAAATTCCTGTAAGAGCAGTATCGATGTCAGGATCGATGACTGAATTGAACAACATGAATAAATCGGTAAACACGTAAGAGTGGCAATCGTTTTTCTTTCGCAGGTAAGGCAAGGGATAGAGAGCGTAGAGGGGTGGGGATAAAATTCGAAAAATTTGGGGGGGGAATTCACGATCGATGATTTGCGTGATTTGGCCAGTGGTGGTCTTGTTCGCGGAGAAGTCGGCGACTCTGCGGGTGCTGGAGGCGGCGAGGCGAGTCGGGGTGGGCTCGCGGTTCGTTTGGCTGGGCAGCGACTCGTGGCCGGATCGTCGGTACGCCGGCAGCGGCAGCGGCGGCGACGACGACGAGGACGACGACAAGGGCCGGGACACGATCGTGCTGGAGGGAGCTCTGGCGGTTCAGCCGCTGTACGCGCCTCTCTCGGGCTTCGACGAGTACTTTACCGGACTGAGGCTCGACCACGAACGCAACAATCCTTGGTTTCGAGAGTTTTGGCGGGCCTATCACGGTTGCACGAACGACGACAGTGGCGAAAAAGTCGCTGCCGGCAAGGTGAGCTTTCGGTTTTCGGAGGATAATACATAATATACGACATGTCATTATATGGTATTTTTCAGCGCGTCTATCACTGTCGAGACCCGAGGTTGAAGATCGAGCGGAGAAACGGCTACAAGCAGCGAAGGTTCCTGCACTTTGTTCGGGACGCGGTGTACGCGGTGGCTCACGCTCTCGACGACATGCGAGCGGACGTGTGCGGCCGAGGCTCGGTCGGCCTCTGCGACGCGATGCGTCCCCCGGACGAGGACGCGTTCGCCGGTTACCTGGCCAACGTCTCCTTCAAGGG